GAACAGAGCTGTGGAGGGAGCCATTCGAACAGCAAGTATGAACCCAGAGATCAGAAAGACCTTGGCCATGTCCTCCAAAGCAAAAAGGACATGGTGGGCAAGAGAGAGAGAGAGAGAGAGTTAGGGACAGATAGAGAGAGGCTGGGCTGTCTGTGGCTTTGAACTGAATGACAGCAGGGCTTGGCGGTTTGTTTGTTTTTTCCTCTAAGGGCCAAGCAAAGACACGGGACACCTGTGATCTGATTGGTGACAAGCAAAAGCTATCTCTGGCTCTGCTGTTGAGAATGGACTGGCGGTGGGCAAGAGTGACAATGATGGGTGAAGTCTGTTGTGTGGTGGCTGGGACTAAAAGTTGCTCTGCGTGTTTGAGGAGAGAGAGTGGGTTATTGATGGACTTTGGAGGGAGTCTGGTAGTTACGTAATTTGTTGTCAATTTGAAAGGATTAAGAGTCAAGGGGTGGAGACTAGCCTGTCAATCAGGCCACAGCTCCATGACCTCATTTGGAGGCGCTAAGGAGATAAATAGCTTGCTGGAGGCAGGACCCACGCTCACTCCCTGGGAGACATTGCAGCTGACAAGACGCATGGAGCTAGGCTAGTGCCCTGAGCTGGTGTAGCCACGTGGAGACCCCTGCCAGCGCCAAGATGCTTCCACCGCCGCTGCAACCACAAGACTTCCCACCCACTGGCCTGTGGTCTTCCTGCATTCAGCGTCATTGCATGTGTCTCATGAGTCTAACGAGGACTTTATAGATTGGTATCGGACATATGGGCTACTATCAGACTTAAGGACTTGATCTGGACTGGGCTGTTTTCTTAATGTATAAATACTCTTTGATATAAAGCTCTTTCTTATACACATAGGAGTCTATGAATTTGTTTCTCTAGTCAACCCTAACTGACACAGAGTCCTCCACCCTCAGAAACGGGACCTTTCAAGATGGTTTTCCCCGAAGCTCCCCAGCCGGTGCCGTCCTCCTGCTCTCCTCCTATCGCTCAATCGGCCCTGGTCTCAGCCAGGTCTTCACCGTTCTTTGCTCATTTCCATCCCTTTTACCCGAAACTCCAATGGGCAGCGTCCTGGTGGATCGTCCTCCGTCACAGGGTCCCCAGCCCTCACCCCAGTCCTGTACTCTGAGTAGCAGCGGGCCGTGCGCTTTCAGCTCCACAACAGGCATCCCGAGCCCAACCATGGCTGTGGCAGGCAGCGTGGGCCTTGAAACCACAAAGCGGGAAGCAAATGCCTTGCTCTGCAGAACATTCTCTCCGCTTCTGGCACGTGGACACCTGCGTGGTTACAGTAGATGGGCTCACTCGGCACCTTTGCCAACTCTGTCCAGCAGGCTTCCTTCACAAGAGAGGGCTGGAAAGCTACAAATGATGTTTCTGGTGGCACAGTGGTTGCATATCGAGCTACTAACTGCCAGGTTGGCGGTTCGAAACCACCAGCCACTCCATGGCAGGCAGAGGAGGTTTTCTATTCCCAGAAAGAGTTCCAGTTCCAGAGACCCACGGCGGAGGGCGGGTGGGGGGGGGGCAGCTCTGTCCTGCCCTGCAGAGTACTGATCCGAGCAGTGAGGCTGCAGTTGGGTTTTGAGGGCTGCCATTCTTCTGTCAACCAGACACACTCTCCCAAGGCTTTAATTAACCTTGGGCTCTGAGTAAGTGAAGCCGAGGGGCCGTGGATGTGTAAAGCAGGGTGCACCATTTTATGGATGTGCGTGACCAGGGCACTGAACCCTTTATGGAGGCTGGCTCCAGGGCCTGGGCCCCAGGCTGTTCCACAGGGCCCATGAGGAGAAAGGCACTTGGCTGAAAGCTGTGTTGACACCCGTCTTGTAGTTCATAGGGGCCCCGCGTTGCGCTGGGCCACGCGGACGAGCTGTCTGTTCCTGCCAACAGGGATGGTGTCAGTTCCCCAACCCAGTGCTGTGGTTCTTCGAGCCAGCAGGTATGGTAGCAGTGGCTTCCTGTCCCCTGGACTGGAAGGACCTTGGATGCTGTGATCAACAGCCAAGCCAGCCGCGGCTTGCTTCCTACCTCCTTTGTCTCCACAGAGGGACCAGGTCCCTTGCAGGCCGGCTCTGGTCAGCAACACTGTTTTTAGGAGCCGCTTTCAGAGCACCAAGGACCCCAGGGGTGTGGTGGGCCAGGCATTTGACCGCTAGCCCAAAGGGCAGCTGTTTGAACCCTAGCTGCTCGTCTTGTTGAGGAAGGCTGGGAGGATGTGTGGCCCCCCTGAAGGTTTATGGCCTTATAGAGAGTCGGCTCCAACCCAGGGTGACTCTCTGCCCAACAGGACGACACACTGGCCGGTCCTGTGCCAGCCTCACACGTGTTACTGCGCCTGCGCCCATGGGTGCAGCCAGGGGGCTCCGTCCATCCCACTGAGGGCCTTTCCCTCCTTAAGCCTGATGAAGCAGTGCTCTCTGTCCTCACGGATGTCGGGAACCCCTGGAAGGACTGCTGACTTTGGTTTGGTGCTGTGTGCTAGAGCTGCCTTTCCAGCGAGTCAGGGAGCCAGCTTTCCTGTTTGGTTGAAACGTAACATGCAAGTTGCTCTCTTCCACATCCATCTGTTGATTTAGGGTCCCGAGGCAAAGACAAGCTGGCTTTCCTGAGGAGGCTTGTGACCGTTGTGACGTCAGACTTTGTCCCAGTGGAAAACAATAAACGACCCCCCCTGAAACAATGCACACCAACCGCCATTGAGTCCGGTTCTGACTCATAGCGAGTCTAGGGGACAGGGTCCAACGGTCCCTGTGGGTTTCTGAGACTGTCACTCTTGGCGGGAGTAGAAAGTCTCATCTTCCTCCCGCAGAGCGGCTGCAGTTTTTGAACTGCTGACCTCCCGGCTCGCAGCCCAGGGCACAAGCGCACGTGCAGTGATGGTTCTGGTGTGCTGGTCATGCCACTTATGAGATGGGGACCCTGAGCTATGACTTACCAGGGATGGGCTTGGCGTGTTCATTATATGTAGCTGCGAACGATGACCACGCACTTCTCCCCTGTCACCGCAGGCCCTGGCTTACGGATGTCTTCCTTAGAGGGCAAGTCCTGGTTGTCCTCGACTATTCTACAGAGCTGACCTCACGCGCAAACAATGCAATGGACCCCTAAGCCAACATAAACCCATCACCCGCAAGTCCGTTCTGACTCATAGGAGAGAGGCGAACTTCCCCATAGGGTCTTGGAGGCGGTCAGTGTCTAGGGAGGCAAACGGACTCCTCTTTCTTCCATGGAGTGGCCGGTGGGTCTGAGCTCCCGATGGTTTGGGCAGCGGTCCAACACTTAACCCATCGTGGCCCCAGTGATAAAGTTCCGCATCGCAATCGCCTTCACTTCCCGCCCCGGTACCCTTTCAGCCCTCGGAGAGGTTTCAAGATCTTTATTGCACTAGAGCCAAGCTCAGTTCCTGTCTGCGTACGGATCCTTAACTGCGCCGTTAGGAGTGTCTCTCATTCTTGTAGGCATGCTGTCCATGCCCTAGGGTGGACCAGGAAGTCGTGATCCCTCCGTCCTCTCATCTAGATGCTCACAGGGGCAAGCTGGCTGACCAGGGCACAGCCTGGGGCACACGGAGCTCCACGGTGCTGTCTGAAGTCCAACACTCAGGGGCCAACAACGCTCTCTGTTCCTGCCAGCTGAGCCGAATCGCCATGTCTGGCGGCTAGACAACCAACGACAACACAAGCAGAATGCACTTCCTGCCAAGTTGACCGCCCGTGTGTGTCCCCAAGCAGACTTGTGCTTCAGTGGACTGGTTTTTCAGAAGTAAATCACCAGGTCTTTCCTCCGCGGTACTTCCACGCCTTCCCAAAGTTAGCAGTCATGTTTCATACCCCCGGGGTCCCCCCCTGGAAAATGTGTTGTAGAAGAACGGGAAGCAAGGTGGGCTCCGTTTGACCTTCAGACACATCCTACCAGACCCAAAGCCTCTAACAAATGGTCTGACTGTTCGCTACCTTCCAATGTGTTTGTCTTTAAAAAAAAAGCTAAAGCTATCCCCTAAAAATGCTCCTAGATTAAACCATCTAAATATACCACCCCCCACATCTAAAACGTTTTTTACCCCCTCCACCAATACACCCCTAAGATTTGCTTCTGCCCAGGGCCAGGCCCATGCTGCTAGCTCTACAGGACAAGGCTTTGTGCCGAGGAGAAGAGGGCTGGGCCAAGTCATTGCAATGCACGCCGCTCCCTCATCCGCGGGGTGACTTGCAACGTTTCACAAATCAAAAAACAATTTGAGCTATTTTAGGTACATCTTTTTCTAGTTCAATGGGATCCAAGTCCTTAAAGCTGAAGACACAAGCATTTCCACCCCGGAAAGGAATATCTAAAATGAACTATAAAATACAGCCTTAGGATGGAGAAATCTTTCTTTTATGAGCAGAGAAGAGAAGATTGCCTTTCTGAACTAGGCAGAGAGCCATTCCATCAGAATTCTTTTATCTTTTTCCATCAGACATATACTGCCATGAATTATATTTATCAGGTAGCATGGAAATAATCCTTGCCTTCTTATTCCATTAATTAAACTATATTGTAATCAGTTGGGTTATCTATCCCCAGTTTGGGGAATATTCGTGCAGGATGCTGTTCTTTGGCTGATATTTGGCTTCTGCATGGTAATGAGGCAGCAATAAAGTTTATGTTCCCTAAATGTGTAAAAATTGTATTTTACACAAAATAGCAAACATCAAAGATAACGACTGATATCAACAAGCCACGTCATACCATCATTTCCTGACACGTTTATGTGTCACTGACGATATTGATACAATCCCCGCTGCAGCTACAAATGTTAGAAGTCTATTGAAGTTATAAGAATGCATAAACAATTGCTAAAAATGCATCCTGCCTGAAAAAGCGGAAAAGAAGTATTTGCTGGTAAGCTATCAACTCACCCCAAGTTCGAGAGCATGGAAATCTATCTTTCCACACCTAAATGTCCCTCTTCATAGAATTTTTTTTTTCATGTATGAGTTTATTCTCATTCTTTAAAAAAAAAAAAAAAGGTAGAGGTGAGGGAGGATGGAGAGGGGATAATGCCTAAACACTGTGAACGGGAAGCGAGACTCCCAGACTTGGGTGTAGCCCCCCTACCCCAATCTCAGCTCTCCAAGAGATTTCCACCCACCCAATTTTCTGTTAAACAAAATATCCGGCAGTAAAGGTACAGTGGGGCAGTCACTGAGATTTTGGACAATGGGGATGGGAGGGGCAAAGTCCAAAAACAGGTATTGGGGGGCGTGTGTGTGAAATGAGGGTGAGACTAGACTCTGGGAGGACAGAGTTGGGCAGCAAGAAGTGGAAGTGCACCAGTCTGAGGGTACCCCTCCTGACTGCTGCTGTCCACGTCCCTCAAGACCCCAGAGAGCCCCACGGTTTGTTCTGCAGTCCGTTTGCTGTTCTCCAGAGGCCTCACAGGCCTAACTCCAGGTCCCCCAGCTCCTCCTCTAGCGCCCTCCTCCTCGCCAGCTTCTCCAGCTGCTCCTTGCTGGGCTGACTAACGTCCCCAGCCTGGATCCGCTGCTGCAGCTCTTCCACCTGCCGTAGCTTCTTCTTCAGATTCTTTTTCTTCTTGGCTTTCTCCGTGGTGGCAGCGGAGTCAGGCTGGTCAGAAGTGGCTGCAGGGACTGCGTGGCAGCCTTGCAGAGTGCTGGGGAGCGGGGCGGTCTCTCCCAGGGACATCTTTTCCAGAGTCCGGCTCAAGGCCTCTGCTTTCCCCTTCTCTTGTTGCTGCCGCCTCTTCTCCTTCCGCTTCAGGTTGCCTTTGGCTGTTTTGGAAAGGCCTGGTTCACCACCTTCAGGCCTAAAGGGGGTGGCAGGAGCAGTGGCTTCAGGACTCAGTCCTGGGGGCAGTTCTGGCTTACTCTTAAAAAACTTCACATACTTGTTCTCATACACTGGGACCTCCTCTCGTGGCACGTAGTCTTCTTTCACCCTCCGCTGTTTCCGCCAGGTCCCGTCAGGTCACTGTGTAGAGGCGATGTACTTGCCGCAGGTCTCGTCAGTTACAGAGGGAGTCGCCATCTTCCCTTTCATAGAATTTAACATCAGATTTGACATGCAGAAACATTCGCGGCTTAATGAGTGTGGCATTTTCCTGTTTTGCGGCACTTCAAATTCATTGATGAGGTCTTCCTCGTGGCACATCAAAAAAAGAATTACAATCCAAGGTCAGGCAAAACCATTTGGTGGAGGCTTTTGTTTTTTCAGGCCCTACCAAGGGAATGAGAGCCGAGGAAGCCTGGGGAAAAATGAATGGAAGATGCTTTGTATCGTCTGTACGGTTCAGATGAGTGGGGATGGGGGCTACTGCTCGTGTGTCCAGCATCAGTAGAGCACACACCTCTTTGGATTTTGTTCTCTGGGGACAAACACGTACACTGTGACTCGGCAGTTCTCACATGGAGAAGGGAGACTCCAGAGTACCCGTATTGATGCTTCATTTCCTGGTGGTCTCTACAGCCGCCAGGAGCGCTGGTGGCCCACGCGGTAAGCACTTGGCTTCTCGTGGAAAAGTCTGCGCGTTGAATGCACCCAGCTGCTCCCTGGCAGACAGCTGCAGCAGTCCACCGCTGTGGAGATCGCAACCTTGGAAACCCGAGGGAGCAGCTCTACTCTGTCCCAGAGGAGACGGAATGGACCCGTGGACAACTTCCCATGCAGACATGGAAGTGGCTGCGCTCCTGTGAAGACAGACCCCCATAGGTCCCCGGTGAAAGGGCAAATGAGGAGCCACGACTCTGTACAGATTCGAGGAACGACGCTGCTCTAAAGGAAGGTCCGGTTCTGTAGATGACGGGCATGTCTGAAGGACACCGCGAATAAGGGAAGCACCGGGCACTCTGCGGCAGTCAATGCGAGCTGTGCTCCACCTATCGGGATCCCAAAGGAACCATCCTAACCCTCTATCGCTGCCCCGCCCTGCTGTACCAATTACTCCGTTCTCTCTCTTTCTCCTGTGCCCTCAGAATCCTTCCGTCTCACCCCGGATTCTCTCTCTCTCCAGGATGCATCTGTTACTCTGATTCGCTTTACAATGCGGGAAGTATACATGTAGAGGTGACAAACACACACACACATTTACCATAATTGAATACATAGACGGAGTCACGGGGGCATTGGGCTGCTCACTACAGGATTAGCAGTTTAAACCCCCAGCGTCTCTGCTGGGGACATGAGGCTTGCTGCTCCTGTGAAGATTTACAGCCTCGGAAACCCACAGGGGCAGTTCCTCTCTGTCCATGGGCTCATTAGTAGTCGGAACAGACCCGATGGAAGTGAGTGAGTTTACACACACACACACACACACACACACACACACACACACACACACGACACTTCAACACTTCAACATATTTGCCATTTCACCCTTTTCATGTGCACGATTTACTGATGTTAACTACATGAATTATGTCTCACAACTATCACTAACAACTTTCCAAATTTCCTCTTATCCTTAAAATAAAACTTCAGGAGTCTTTAGTACTCTCTCTCTCTCTACCCTCACTCTCACTCCTGGAAACCACAAAGAAATGTTCTTGAAATATCGGTCTATCCTAGACATCTCATATGCATTGGATCATATGATGGGTGGCCTTTGGGGACCGACATATAACATGTATCAGGACTTTGTTTTTTTGTGACAAGATATTATTTCATTGTATGTATGTACTATATTTTGTCTATTCCTCTACTAATGAACAAAAAAAATCAACTCACTGCCATCAAGTAGATTCTAACTCACTTTACAGGAGCAGACAGCAGCATCATTCTACATCGGAGCGGTTAAGGGCTTTAAACGGCAGACTTTGAGGTTAGCAGCCCAGCACCTAACACACAGAGTCACAAGGGTCCTTTTAAACTCTGCTCAAACCAAACCAAGCCAAACCCAGTGCCATCGAGTCAATACGGATTCACAGGGACCCTGGAGGGCAGTGTAGAAGTGCCCCTGTGAGTTTCTGAGACTGTAACTGTTTACGAGAGTAGACAGCCCTGTCTTACTCCCAAAACCCACCGGTGGTTTTGAACCACTGACCTTGAGATGAACAGAACAACTTGTAACCACGATGCCACTAAAAAGGATATTTACCCTTTTTAGGTAAAAAGAAAGGAGAAACCAAGAAGACAGCCAAAATGAGCTAATGTACTCATTTCCGTCTGTGACATCAAATAATTTAAGCATCCCCGGTGGCGTGTGTGTTTGTTAATTTTTCTTTGTTGTTTTTCAAGATGTTGATCCCATTTCGCTGATCTTTACTGACAGCAGTGAAGGATCAGGTGAAAATCCAGCTCTCGCTGTTTGTGAGAGCACTTTGCCCTCTGTCTGAGAGAAGGGCAGGGGCTTTCTATTCCTGTAAAGAATGACCGTCTTGGAAACCGACAGGGCGGGTCTAGCCTGCTGTGGAGAGTCGCATCCATCAGACGGCAGTGAGTTTGGGTGTCTGGGCGGCCTCTGTCCAGGCTCCTCCATGGGTTACCGTCAGGTATTGCCTAGCCGCCCATCTTCCATTGAATCGAGGAATCTACGTGGACGCGGCAAGTTGAAGTGGACTTCCCAGGTAAAATTCTGGGACCTGAAGACAGCTGCTTTCTGAGCTGTCAGACAGAGCACCTCTCTTCCCTTCTTCCTGTCCATTAATTTTAATCATTCTTTAAAAAGGCAATTGAGCTACCCAGACATTATTTTTACTTCTCTCTCTCTTGGAAACGTTAGTGGGCTTACGGGTTTCTTGTCTCTTAATATCGATTCAACTATTTTACAGGGGATTTCCAGGTAGACTTTCTGGGTGGTAAATTCCAAGATGAATTTGGTTAACACCTTTTAAAGATAAAGTACCACAGCTCAGCTCTCATTTACGGTCCTATCTACTCTATCTTTTAAAATTATGCAGACCCCTCATGCACTGAATTCCAATGAAAAACTTGCTTATTGGGTTTCCTTATCTCTCTTTGTCACCTAAATGCATATAATTTGCTGTGAGGTAATCTTAGCATTTCCCTCCGTGCCTCAATCAAGGTTACTATTTTTCAGAAGAGGTGAGGTTTCTTGTGCTGTAAATGATCCCTATGGTTGCACAGTTGCCTGCCTTCGATGAGAAGTCAAAGCTCCCACTCACAGGCCAGCCGAACCATTCCGACTGCTTATTGCTGCAGCATTTCTCTCCTCTTCTTGCTTTCCTGCCCTCACACGTGATACCCAACCCTACAGCAGTAGTCATCTACAGGCAGATGCTTGGACAGGCTGAACAGGTATGGGACAGAGAGCACAGAGCATACTGATGCATAGATAGAGATTTGACAGAGGATATTTGCATATATGCATTTATCTTTGCTGTAAATCTGTTGATGAATGTGGTGGAGCATACAGTGGACAGAATTAGCAAAGCTTCTTTTTTTAAGACATTATCAAGCATGTTGAGGGTTTGGGGCGTCAGGACTGTAGCCTCAGGGGACACCAAGGTCACTTGGCCTAAAGCAGTTCACAAAGACAATGTTCTGCAAACTACTTTGGTGAGTGGTGACTGGGGTCTTCAAAGCTCATGTGTCAGAAACAGCTTTAAATGGAGAAGTAATTTTGCATCTGTGAAACATCCCAGCCCAGTTCAACTCAAGTCCACAGGTCCAATACTAGTCCCTAAGTCCCCCTTCAGACACACAGTCGCATGCAGTGATGCAGAATGCAGGAAGATCACAGGCCAGGGGGTGCCAAGTTGTGTTGATCCAATGGTGGTGGATGTAGCTCCAGGATTGTGGCAGCTCTCAGAGTGGCTTGCCAGCAGGCAGGTGAAGGCGGTGAGACAAGGGGAAATTCCCAGGACATCTCCTTATGAGAAGGCCCCATGCACAAGGAGTCACCATCAGGCTGTGACCTGACTGACAGGTTAGACTCCACCCCTACATTTTTAGATATCTTCAAGTTGACATGAAATTATGTAACTACCACCACCTTCATGTTAGCATAATCAATGTCTCCAGGTAACAAAGGCAGCAGTGACCCAAGGACAAAGTATCTAAGGTTAGGAAGGAGGGAGGGATGGAAACAGGAGAGCGAGAGGAATTGGAATAAGCGACAGTGCATTGTGGAGAATGCAAAGGATGAGTTGCAACAAAATGTGCTTAAAGAGTCAGATGTGAAACTGTTGATTGGCTCTGTCACCCTTCACCGGATTCACAATAAAATGCGCTTTTAAAAATTCCTTTTTTAGATTGTGTAGTAATTCAAAAATAATAAAACACAAGGGTGAAAACAAAAATATCATGGTGATCTCTTCTATAGGGTTTACAGCCTAGGAAACCCCATCATGAGATATGTCTACTCTGTCGCATAGTGCTACTATGAGTAGAACAAATCCTATCGTGTCCAAAAACAGCAACAATAGAAATGAATAACAACGAATTAAAAATTAACCCCCAGATCAAAGCTAGACAGCACCATCCAATTATTTTTCTTTCCTTTTGTTTCACTGAGTCTAATTAACTGCTTTTTCCTTGTATAAACACAAACCAATCAAAAGCAAATTCACATCTATGCCAACTCATACTGAACCTATAGGACAAGGTACACCTGCCCCAGTGAGTTTCCTGAGACTAACTCCTTACAGGAGTAGAAATAGCCCTGTCTTTCTCCCAAAGAGCGCTGGTGATTTTGAATGACTGACGTTGCAGATTGAAGCCCAACGCATAACCACTATGCTACCAAGGATCTTCTAAAAGACAAATGAGGTTCTGATATGTTATTACCAATTGCCAGGGGACTTGATGTGGCAAGACATGCCGTTCCAAGATGTGCTTATTCAAGACTGGTGATGAAATAACTAGTGGGAGCAGTAGCATTTGCCTTTATCCTCTACGTTTAAGCAGGAACAAAAGAAAACATTGTACAGAAAAGCTAATGGTATTTTGAAAACACAAGCAACCCAAAAGTAAACAAAGGAGCATTGAACTTGGCACCAACAGGCTAGAACCATTGCCCCACTTGACAACAGGGAATGTTGTCATCATCAATGCTGCACACAAGGGCTTCA